GGCTGCAGCCTACGCCATCGCTGGCAACTCACGGCAGCCCAGCTCCAGGTTGAGCTGTTGTTCAGTATCTTAGCTGTAGAGGGCAGTGTCATTGGCCATCATATGTGGGATCTGAACTGGGACCCTCTGGCGTCCCAAGCCAGCTCTTAACCAACGCGCCATTCGGCTGGCCCAAGACAACATAGGTTTTATCTAGGCATCTGAGGGATAACACTACTGAACTTACCAAATGACTACAAGTTGAGTGCCACATACATTACGTCTACATATACCTAATATTTTCATTTCTCCACTGAGTCTAAACTGATAAAAATGACTATAAATCAAAGTAGGATTACAAAATAATGATGCAATCTACTTATGACATTAGTCTTACTGGTTTATAATTATTTTCTAATTTATTTACTTAGTCACCCATAGTTATTACCTGGTACAGAACTAAATAAAAGAGATTGGGGCCGGCCGAGTGGCGCATTGGGTAAGAGTTGGCTTGGGACACCAACTCTGAGCAGCAGGGCCCCTGTTTGGATCCCACATTAGGGCCAGTGATGCTGCACTCTCTATAGCTAAGATGGTGAACAGCAGCTTGACCTGGAGCTGGGCTGCTGTGAGTTGCTGGCAATGGCATAGCCTGCAGTGAGGCTGCAGTGGGTTGCCATAAGCTACCGTGAGTGACTGGCAGCCAGCATGAGCTGCCAAGAGCCGATAAGAGCAGTCATCCAGTGGCCGGCAACCAATCTGCTTCACCTGGGAAGAGCGCAATGATAATGCCAACATGGGCCAGTGAAGTGATGTCCTCCACAACTAGACTGAAGAACAAAAAGACAGCAACTTGTCTGTTCCCCTTCACTGATACCCCAACGCTGTTCCCCTCCCCCAATTCCCCAATAAAATCTTTAAAAAAAAAATTAAAAATAAAAGAGATTGGAGGAATAATAAGAAATAACCCCCCCCAATAGCCCCTTATCCTAAAGAATTTTATATTTAAGTGGGATAGACAGGAAAGTAAGCCAAAAATTATAATTCACATCAAACATTAAGTTATATAATGATTCTTATTGATAAATACGGACAGCTGGAACAATTCTTATCTTTTGAGGGAGGTACATCTTTTCCAGTGTAAGGGTGTAACTTTACTCTCTTCTTCTCTCTCTTTGATTCAAATATGTCATCTATTTTCAGTACAAGCTGAAAAAAGACCAGAATAGTACAAGTTAAAACCAAGACAACAAGATTTGCAGCTTGGTGATATTAACTTATTAGTGATTTTCATTCAGAAAAAGGTCCATTTTATAAATAAAAACTTTTACATTTCTCAATTTGTTTGTATCTTCTGAAAGTTTTATTTTGTTGTTTCTTTTTTATTATTATTTTTCAATTATAGTTGACATTCATTATTTTATATTAGTTTCAGGTGTTCAGCATAGTGGTTAGACAATGTAATTTATGAAGTGATCACCCCAATAAGTTTAGTACCCATCTGGCACCATACATAGTTATTACAATATTATTGACTATATTATCTATGCTCTACTTTACATCCCATGACTATTTTGTAACTACCAATTTGTACTTGTTAATCTCTTCATTTTTTAAACCCACCTCCCCAACCTCTCTCCCATCTGGCAACCATCAGTTTGTTCTCTGTATCTATGAGTCTGTTTTTGTTTTGTTTGTTCATTAATTTTGTTCTTTAGATTCCACATATAAGTGAGATGATATGGTATTTGTCTTTCTCTGTCTGATTTATTTCATTTAGCATAATACCCTCTAGGTCCATGTTGTTGCAAATGGTAAGATTTTATTCTTTTTTATTGCTGAGTAATATTCCATTGTATGTATGTACCATTTCTTCTTTATCCATAGCTTGGCTATTGTAAATAGTGCTACAGTGAACACAGGGGTGCATATATATTTTCAAATCAGTGCTTTGGATTTCTTTAAATAAATACCCAAAAGTGGAATTGGTGGGTCATAAGACATTTCTATTTTTAATTTTTTGAGGAACTTCTAAACTGTTTTCCATAGTGGTTGCAACAATTTGCAACCCCACCAACAGTACAAGGGTTCCCTTTTCTCCACATCCTCACTAACACTCGTTTTTTGCTTTATTGATGATAGCCATTGTGACAGGTGTGAAGTGATACCTCATTGTGGTTTTAATTTGCATTTCTTTGATGATTAATGACATCTTTTCATATGTCTATTGGCCATCTGCATGTCCTTTTTAGAGAAATGTTTATTCAGGTCCTATGCCCATTTAATAAGATTTGTGTGTGTGTGTGTGTGTGTGTGTGTGTGTGTGTGTGTGTTGAGTTGTATGAATTCTTTATGTAAATTTTGGATATTAACCCCTTTTCGAATATATCATTGGTGAATATCTTCTCCCACTCAGTAGGTTGTCTTTTCATTTTTTTGGTGGTTTCCTTTGCTGTGCAATAATGTTTTAGTTTAATGTAGTCACGTTTATTATTTCTTTTGTTTTCCTTGCCCAAGGAGATATATTACAAAAAAATATTCCTAAGAGCAATGTCCGTGAGTTTACTGCCTATGTTTTCTTACACATTTTTCAACTTTGAATATAAAATTCTTTAGTAAGACGATATGTTGTTCTAATACAAAGTCCACATAACATGGGTGAAAGAAGTGGGAAAGGCTATTTCTTTCCAGAGGAAACCAGCACAGGCCTTTTGAGAGATTCCTTGTCACACCATGTCACAGCATGCAGGAAATCTGGCTCCTTCACTCCACATGGTGACCAAGCCTTTACTACTGGACTCAAGCTTTTGCTTGCCCAGAGTAGGAAGTGGAATACTTATTCTCTTGGAAGGCAGGGTGAGACCTAGTTATTTTTGCTCCCAGGAATTTTTAGCAAAGAGAGGAAAATTATGCTCAGAAAGTTTTAGTCAAACGGAGTACTCTATGTTACAATTTATTTTAGAAACATGTCATAAAAATTGAAGACTTTCCAATATGCTCACATACAAAAACTATTCTCCATTTAAGAAATATTATTCATTAGAATTATTTCTTTGCTGCTGGGAGGTGTGTGTGAGACAGAGACAAAGACACAGACAGGGCTTAAAAAAAGGAAAGAATTAAAAGTGATCAATAGCCACTTTTTAAAGGAGGAATTGATTCATTTTATTTGGTGTATACATCAAAGAATTTTTCTTAAAATTCCAAGCTTTTTCTTAACTATAAATCCTGGTTTAACACACTTAATGCCCAGAATTACAATTGTTAGGAACATTATATAAGATGATAACCAACAAAGTTACTTGAGAAAAATGTTCTTGTTTTCTCTTTTGTCCTTGCTTTTCTAGCAATCCTGGCAACCCATAGGTAGTCCAGTGCAAGGAAAATAACATGTGAGAAACATGTGCTTCCTATATGCAGATTATTCCCACATTTTTGGATAAGTTTGTTCTTTTAAAGATTTTTGTAGCTACCATTTAAGTAAAATATTACCAATGTTCTTAAATATTAGTATTATAAAAAACAAACAAACAAGAGAATCCAACATACAAAGGTCTCGGTAGGAGCTATAGAAAGATGTGAGCATAAACATGTATTTGGAGTACATAATGAACAAAAATAGTATGATTATTAATGTGCATTTGAAAAGCATACTCCAAAGTATACTCAAATATTACAAAAGAACTATCTGTTCTAGAAATATGAGACTAAGTAATAAAATTTAAATTTTGGTTCTCAGCTAGGAAGAGAAGCCTACATTTATCTTCTAGCTGCAGGAGATACTGTAGAACATCGTTTCTAAGAAATGACAGACACCATATTGCTGTACACACTTGACACAAACAGTAGAAAACATTAGAAACCTACTCTAGCAAACAATGCCACCTGGGCTTCCACAGGAGGGAGAGAAAGAAAGGGTGGGAAAAGGCATATGGACTAAATGAGGGATTTTCAAACTACGAAACCAATTTCTCTTCCAGGGATAACTGGAGTCATCAAAGGGGAAATAATGAAAACCTCTTTCCTGGTGGAGTGTTGTTCCTGAAGACACTCCGAAGCCAAAATTTGTACTGCAAATGGAACGTCCTAAAAGGGTTTATTCCCAGGAGGGTTGCCAGGTAGAAAAGCTAACCATCTGTTTCTCCCTAATGATCAGGATTTCACCATCACTATCCTCCTGCACCCCACACTTCTCAAAAAAAAATCTTTGGGAAAATATTAGAAAAGGAAAAGCTGGTCCCTATCACCTATAATAAAAAAGAGAACAAGCTACAAGTGCACAGCACATAAAATACCAAGGCGTGAAATCTAAAGCACTGAAAATCTCCTTTTGTCTCATTAAACATTACAATCAATAATTCCTCAGTATTTGTGAGTGCCATTTCAAGAACCACACTTTAATGCAGTCTCTTTTGTGTTCATGTTCTTGTCCCTGGGAACACCTGATCTGTTGTTTCTGGGCCTGTGGGAGGCTTCGGTGTTGTGCCAGTGTCATTTGTCAGGGGAGGAAACTACTGCAGCAGGCCTGGAAATTCTTCCAGCCTGTGATGTTTAACTCTTCCTCACCCCACACACAGGATAATAAACAGCTAAAGGTTTCCTTTTTAACTGAGAGAGATCAGTTTAGTGCTTTTTAGAAATGGTGCAGATTTAACTCTTCACATATTAAGGAGGGAAGGGCAGGAAATAGATCAGAAGAATTAAAGTAATTATGGAACAGAATATTTCCCAAGTAACCACTCAGCAGTTACTAAGCCAAGAAACAGCTGTGACTTCTGTTTAATGGTATAATCAAGTACAAAAACTGTTTGCTAAATGAATACATATAGCTAATTCAGATGGGATAAAGAAAGGAATACCATTTATTATAGTATAGAATATTGCACATTTAAATGATCTGATTTCTTCATAGTAATCCTGAAAACATTCTGAATTACAGAAAAGAGTAGCACAAAGAGTTTTAAAATATTTTCATCTAATTTCTTGTGTTTCTCCTAAAATATAAATATAATATATATTTATAAATAATCCCAATTTCTTCATTTTGGTTCCAAAGGCTCTATCTAGTAGAGATGATTTACTTACTGCCTTTTCTCCCTTGAGAAATCATCTATTTAGTATAATTGCTGAAAATTTCTATTTCCAAGAAGTAGTCAAATTTCTTTCTCTGAATGAAAATATTTGCTCCAAATTAACGGCATATACTTTGTCATTACTGAAAATCTGTAAACATATGCACAAAACTGAATTCACTTTGGCAATTATATAAATGAGTGAAACACTGAAGCCAGCCTAATTAAGTATCCTTATACATGATATTCTAGTGCTTCCTTGAAATAAACAGCTGACTGTAATGAGAACTAAGGTAATTGAAGTGAAGCCTTCCATCTAAAATCTGTTTTCCGAATCCATAAAGAAACCTTGGCAAAAGCCATGCATGCATTTTTCTTGCATGAACAAAAACTAAAGCTTAAGGCCACTTTCCAAATCTTCTAATTCCAGTAGGTCAACCTATTTATTATTCATATCAGTCTAAAGTTTATTCATTCTCATTTATGGAAATGTTGAAATAAGAGTCAAGAATGAGAGCACTGAGCTCTTACCCTTGGAAGATTTTTCCTTTTCTTTTTTGCAACTTCTCCAGCTCAAAAAAGCTTCCATTCAGTTAAAGTGATGGGCAAAGTGGTATCTTTTGAGGGCTTTGACCCGAAATAAGCATGTGAGTTCTTCAGTGCCACAGTCTTCCGGTGAAGGAACTGAGGTTTGGGAGGAAGCTAAAATAGCAGATGTACTGGTAAGGGTAAGATCATCTAGTTAATGCTGTACTCTCAAAGTGAAAGCTATCCCAGAAAAATATATATCTTTCCTTTAAAATCATCTCACATGAGGACACCATAGATTCTTTTTCACCATTTGCAAAGACGTTTCTCAAGTTTCTAATCCAAAACTTTTCTAATAAAATGTAATCAAATTTCCAGAAAACAATGGCTTTGAGGCCTCATTAACTCAAGGCAGCCTTTGCTTCCAGGGGTGGTGAATGCTTTCAGGGTCCAGACAGGTAATGTAGGCCACCAGCTGATGTGAGACTCATAGGGAGCTGGGGCAACTACAGTGAACCAGAAGTTCATAGTCTGTCTAAAGAAGCTCATATTCAGTTTTTTTAAGTACTAAAAAACAACCCTCCCCTAATACACCCCCCCACAAAAAAAGCTGAGTGCTGCCCCACCATTAAAAAACAAACACCACCACCACCACCAATAAATCCCCATATTTCAGTGCCTCTTAGTTTTGACCCTCGGTAAACCATTTTGCCCTTTTTGCAGGAATTATAAACAAGAGTTAATGTTTTCTCATACTAGTTCCCTGGTTCACCTTGGGTGCTCTGAAAGCACTTTTGGGAGGTGGTTCTATGCTGAAGGGGATCTCCACATGGGCAAAGTCTGCCCTGGAATGTCTTCATACGGGTTTTCTTTAGTGGGATCTTGAAAAATAACAAAAAACATAAAGCTTAGAGAACATAGCTAAATGGAAACAAAGTGACTACAGCTAGAAAAAGAACTAGAAAACTGACTAAATATGTTCAGCTTTCTATTCCACATTGTTGTAGGGGATGTAGGTCTCAAAATCAAGAGCACTTTAAGCGTGTAAACCATTCAGGCATCAAACAAGCTAAAAGAATTCTCAAAATACTATACTATAAACATCTTCTGAACTGAGCAGTCCACTGAACTAGTTATAAAATCCATTAAATAAAAGAATTTCTACAACAAAGGTTTTCATATTAAAAAGAAAAATCTAGAGCAAGATATGCTTGATTGTAGAAGAAAATACCACCCTATTTTCTTCTCCACCAAATACATATTCATCAATTTAATTGCAAAGTTTGTGGACACCTACATGTGATATCTTCATAGATATTGTCCTCAGACTGTGTGTAATAAAGTGCTGAGCCAGAATTTCTTCCAAGTTCTTCATGAATCTCCCGTGTGTTCCAATTTCGAAAGTGCTGGAATATTTTCAAACTCAAAGGATTTCCTTAAGAAAGGAGACATATTTAAAGTTGTACCTTTTCAAACTCTAGTTTTTACATTGGTGGGACAGATATTAGTAAGTAGAGGGCTTGTGTACAAAGGTGTTTTATCAGGTCACCCAAAATTATAAATTAGGCTGATGTCCTATATACACCATGAGAAAATTGGTGGTTTTTAGCCACTTTACATTCATGTTCTTCACTGAGTACCTATCTTATATTCACTCTCTAATGAAAAGGGAGGCAAAGGCCAGCATGTCCCAAATGAAGTAGAAGAATGTACCTGCTTTCCTACACATTCTTAAAGATAAAAAATGGAAAATTTTCTGATGCTCTTATGTTAGTAGATTGTGTTAGCTATTACCCATACTGCTACTATTTCCTCTTGCACATATTTTCTCCTTGGGTTAATCAACATCTGTGCAGTCAAATTAGGGCTGTAACCCATGCAGAGAAATGGAAATTGGCTTGAAAAGGAAAAAGAAGCTCAAGAGTTGTATAAAGAAAATACTTATAAATCATTACCTATCAAATAAAAACATACCTTTTAGATTTTCTTCTGATTTTTCTGCCATATTTTTTTGGTTCAGGTTCCCAAGAGGAGGCCAATGCCACAAGAATCACTTTCACAGTATTTCTGTCACAGTTTCCTTTTTTATATGGCATAACACCCGATTCAGATAAATATCTGAATGTCCTATGAGACTTTGGCAAAGAATATATAGAAGGTCCACATTCTTGGCCCTCAGGTTTGGAGTAAATGTTTTCTAAGTTCTTGGTTATTCCATAGGAGCTATCCAGGACTCTGAAATTCAGTTCTTTTTCTGAAGCGTCACAATGTTCTAAAGCCAAGTTTAAGACTTTATCTGGAGGAAGTACTTCTATTTTCTTCCACAGTATTTGTGAGGTATAGAAATTTCCTGGAGGTAATGCAGTCTCTGGATTCAAAACAACTTTTTTCCAGCTTTCGATTTGGTTGACCTGAGAACATACCCAGTTGGGTTCTGATTTGTTTTTAAAGAAGCATGTACCATCATATTCACGTTTCTCACTTTCATCCTCACTTTGATTACTGTTTTTGGTATCTTCATTAATATCTAGACTGACATTTTGAGAGTTGGACATCCAACTGTTTGCTCTTTCCCTCAGCAACAGGATTTTTTAAAAATCTCCTGATGACAGTTCTTATATCTCACTGCAAAGTCCTCTGGGGGCCACTTATCTGGACTAGATATGTCATTAGTTCTTCCTTCCTACTGAGAAATTTTTTGTTTGATGTTTTTGCAGTGGCTTCTTGACACTGTCTGAACAGTAGAACGAGAAAAACCAACATCCATGTTCCCAGTTGGGTGTATAACAAAGTGATGAGTTTTACTAAGGTTTCATTCCAAGAAACTGTGAAATGCTGTGTTTTTTATCCTGTCAGTTAGAATCCAAATAATTCCATTACTTTTCTTTCATCTTTAACTTGGAAATCTCTTTGTATAAAAAAATTTTGATCATTGATCCTTGTTGAAAATGGCTACAAGTTTATCTTAAATAATCTTATTAAAGCAAGTCAAGAATATGTTAACACGGTTTTATAATTTTCTAATTTAAACTTCACTAAAACATTGCCCACTTATTCTTTAATAATTCATTTAAGTTGATGTAGAGGCCTGATGACCGCATTGTATTTCTGAAACTGATGTTGAATAATACTGTATGTCAACTATAATTATATATACATATAACCTCGGGACATGGAGTAGAGTGCGGG